GGGGCTTTTAAAGCTAACTGGCCAATAGCACTGGGTTGGGTCCAGTCCTCCTTTTCTAAGGGGCACAACCAGAAGATAAATGTCCATCACACCCAGATTTGGGGGCTCTTACAGACTGAGATCCTCCGCGAGCTTTGTCTGTAAGAGCCCAGGTGATTGACTTTTTTTGTCACCAATAAATGTCATATCTGTACTCTTGATCTGCTCTGGAATATTCTCTTTCTTCCAGATAAAGAATCGGGCTAACAGCAGCACATGGAAAACTCTGTGTTCTTGGATTTAAGTGATAATAACCTCGTTATTTCCCGCTCCGACGTGATGAATCCTGAACTTTAACTCCACTTTGTTGCCAGACCCTGTGAGCCGCTTTACTGGCAGCAGAGCGGGATCTGCTCTGTTTGCTGGATTTCCAGCAGCTGGGAGAAATTACCTGAGAAGCCACTCAGAATTCCCTCCATATTGGACGGAGCCCGGGCCAGAGCCCGAGTCCTGGGGGGCTCTGGAGGGACTGAAGGCCTGTGTGTTGGTGGCTTATCAGGAGACATGAGGCAGCTGCATTCCTCACAGCATGAAGGAGATAAAGGCTTTCAAATCAAACGGGAGCTCAGGATGAATCACTGCTCGCCCACACAGAAGCCCCCCCTCGTTTTCTCACTGATTTTTTATTATAAACTGACATTTTTCATTGTCATAAAATGTTTAAACTCCTATTTATTCCCCTTAAATTGAGCTTTTTTGCATCCTGCATTCATCTGTGCCTCCACAGTTTGACCAAGTCCTAATTTGGCTCATGAGGCATATGCCTAAATTATCAAAATCCTGTTTGTTTCTTGGTAATAAGAACGTCTGAAACTGTTCACAGACGTCCTGTCATAAACCAGGCTGTCCATCTAAGCTAGGTACCTGAAAGAGCAGGAAAAATAGACTGGAAGTAGGGGAGTGACCAGAGAGGGGCCATGCCTCTTAAAGATCTGTGATGAAAGAACTTGATCTCAGACAGAAGATGTTAATCTGTAGCACAGGGGTCCTAAAACGTTTTCCAGGCCAAGGACGCCCAAAACCCCCTAATTATATATACTGTCTGAAATTGTGGCTGTTTAACGGTTGATAGGAAGTATCATAAGAAATCAAGTGTGTTTATGAATTCAACTTTTGAATTATTAGCCACATTTTTGCTTTTTGATGAACATCTAAATGTGCTTTATGAAGTTGTTGTTATTCACCAGTCAATTATTTGTATTTTTATGGCCATTTGTTAAAGACTTTGTATTTTGACAAAGTTTTGTGGCTGCTTTGCTCCATAAATACAATGGAGAACCATTTAATGACTTAAAGCAGGGGTCTTAAAGGTTTTCCAGGCCAAGGACCCCAAACTGATGGAGGGGGGGACCCTAATTATATATATTTTCTGAAATTGTGTTATATCGAACTGGTCCTATAGTGTGTAAATGTACCTTGTTATTGGGCTTTCAGTACTGAGATCCTCAGATAATCCAGAATAATACAGAATACAATAATAGGCAGAAAATTGCAGAAATACAGCAGAAAAACTGCAGAAAAAGTCAGAAAACAGAAGAAAAAGAGCCAGAAAAACTGTACAAAAACAACAGAAAGAGACAGAAAAAGGCTGAAAACAGCCTGAAAACAGACTAAAAACAATGTTTAAATGTCCCTTGTTATTGGTTGAAGATCTCCCCTGTAGCAGATTCACATACTCATGAGTGATAACTCACAACTAAACCCGGTTAGACGGGTTTTCCTGACCTCTGTGGTTTCAGGGCTAAAGGAAGGACTAAAAAGCTCTTACACCAGTGGGGTCGGGGGGTGTTGGGAGCGGGCCTGGAGGTGGTGGTGGTGGGTGGAGAGGTGGGTTGGTTCCAGGGGAAGTAGCTGGCGGTGTGGTGGGCCTGTCTCAGGGGGCTCCTCCTCCCGTGGTGGAGGGCGTACTGGTCTGGAGGCAGCCAGTACTCGTACTCAATCCCTGAGTTTCTGTCTGTGGCCAGAACCTGGACACAAGAGGAGGATTCAAACATGTAGACAGACCTATCTAACCAGCCCTTTGTCCATCTCTTTCTGCTCTGTCCCCATCCGTAAATATTCTGAAATGCCTTTTAACTTGCAGTATTAGAAGTTTGCATCTTGAGAAGAGCTTCAAATGGACACAAATCTAGAAAGTACAAGCTTTAGCAGGCTTTTTAACAGTCGTTTTTTTTGGTAACGATTTAATAAAAATTATGATAGACTGCAAGATAACATGGAGGACGATGGATTTCAAACGAAAACGTTTTTTTTGTTGATTCCTGTTTATTTTGCATGTATATGATATAAAAACCTAATTTGCCAACCCGTCCTACCCCACGGAGCTGAGCCAACGACCCAAACTAACCCAATCCAGCCCAAAACTGACCCAAACTGGTCCAAAACAGACTTAAATTGGTCCAAAACTGACCCGAACTAACCCAATCCAGCCCAAAATGAACACAAACCAGTCCAAAAGGGGGCTAAACCGGTCCAAAACTGGTCTAAAGCCTACCCAAATTGACCCAAATCAGTCAAAAATAGTCTAAAAGATAACATGGAGGGCGATGGACTTCAAACTAAAACGTTGGGTATAATGAAGCCGGGAAACATCTCCAACCTGCGGGGCCTGAATAGAACCAGAGAGTTAGATCCCTCCAAACACCCTCCTCACAAATAAACTGGGGAAAAATGCTCCTGAGTACAGATTTTCCTCGGTCAGCCTTAATGGAAGTGGTCCTACCATCAGATGGAGGTCCTCCTGGGTGGGACCGGGGACCTCGAAGCTCTCCCAGGTGTCTGCCGAGCGCCGGTACAGAAGCTTGGTCCCGGCCACGCTGTACTCCCCCGGGATGCTGATCTTCCAGTTCCCATTGATCAGGAACTGGGCGCGGCCATTCTGCAGAGCTGGGGGGGGCAGGGGAGGATGGTGTGGAGTTTGATGGTTTCAGAAAAATGGAATAAAATGTGTTTTCACTCGGGGTCAAGGTGGAGCAAAGGATGGAAGAATACGCCAACAGGTTATTAGAGGCAGCTGATGCAGGGAGAGGGGCTTTCCATGACATGGAGTGGAAAAAAGTGCCCCCCCCCGACCCCCCCGGGGTGAGATAGTCTCTTTGAGCATCACTCC